AAAAAATATGTTGTAAAGCAAAGTGAGAGCTTCATGTTTGTTTAATTATTTTCAATATTCATATAAAAGATAAGTCAGGCGAGCCTTCCAAAATGTATTGTAAAATAATAATAATAAAATTTTTTATCAATTGTGTAACAATTTTGTGACGTATTAACGTTTCTCCCTGTTATAAATATATAAAATAAAATGTAAATCGCGTTAGTCAATACAAATATAAAAAGTTAAAAAATGTTTTTCTAGAAATAGCCATCAATTGGATAATCATATAAAATTTAAATATAACTAGTTTTAGGAATCAGATGTAATATGAAATCATGTTGAAAGTTTATCATTTATAAAGGTTTATATTTAGAAGCATGAAATTCTATGGTTTCTTCAATAAAGGACACATTAGTTATATACAAATTATTGCACTTTGCAAAAAGATATAGTCACATAATTTCTGTATTATGTTTAGAGAAAATTATGAGATTTTGGATTGCCTGTTGTTTTATATTTTCGAATGGTTGTTTATATTTCTTCAAGTTCTTAAAATCGGTGGAATCTCCGATTTCCACACTACATTGTGACCTGCAGAGGCTACAACCTATTGTTAGCGCAATAATCAAAGACTGTAATTGTATTTGTTCTTTATTATTTTTCAATTTATGTCAGTTAGAAACTGACGTATGTCAATAATAAATTTAAAAATAACGTACATTACTTTGCAATAGATGGAATCGGTAACAATTTATCAAATGCTTTATGATGCATTTGCGAACTACCCTAAAATTTGAAAATTTTGACTACCAATATGTAAATATAAATTTCGATTGAAATTGTCAACGTTCGTCGTGTTACGATGCGTTATTTGATAAATTCCTATGCCAATGAGAATAGTAAATGAGTTAGATGCGTTATCAGTACAGATCAGTGATTAAAAAAAAAGTTTTCGAGGTTTAATTAATATATAATTTGGCAATGAATTTTAATTTTAGCGACCAATTGTCTACTTAGCTTCGCAAATGCACTGTCAATGGTAAATATTACTGTACAAATTAAACATATGATATTTTTGATTGCATAAATTTTATGTTAACTAAAAATTACATAAAAATTATGACTTTTACTAAAACGCACCTATGGCGTTTTACACCTATGTATATATTATCTCAAAATCTGGCTAATTAATCAATGCAAGATGTTCTAAGCAAAAGTGCTCTACGCCCCTAAAAACCCTTTCCAAACCTTAACCCGAACCCTAAATACTAACACTACCATAAAAATTTTGCGTTGAAAATTTTTATATTCAAAACTTAGAAAAACCTAAGAAACATAATAGAATATATAATAGGTGCAAAACCACCATAGGTGCGTTTTATAATAAATGATCTATTATTACATAAAATTTATTTTTCTAGATTTTTATAAGTTTTGTAAATGAAATTTTTAGCACAAAATTTTCATGTTGGGGTTAGTATTTGGTATGAGAATTAAGGTTTAGGAAGGGTTTTGGAGGACGTAAAGCAGTTTACTTAGAACCCAGATATTAATTAATTAGCCGGTTTTTAAGATAATGCAACATAGGTGGTAAAACACTATAAGCACGTTTTAGTAAAAGTCATAATTAATTAAATTGTTTTTAATAAACTATATTATAATTCTATTTATATATTAAAACTTTTTAAAAACTTAGAAGTCTAGATTTTAAATTTTAAAATTTAGTTTTTATAAAAATCAGATTCAAAAACTAGGTTCTAAAGTTCTAAACCTAAAGATTTTACCAATTCTTTCTAAAATATGGTTGCTTATAAAGGTTTGTTTAAAGACTATTTTAAGACCATTAATATTTAGAGGACAAATTTTAATAGTTGGGAGAGCTGGAGTAGTTTGAGAATTCGAAGTATAGAGAATCGAATCTTGCAAACAAATTTGTCTACTAAATTAATTTTATTTAAACATTTATTATTCCTAAATATTAATTTTAACTATATTTTTAAATAAAAAATATAGTTTATTAAAAAAATTATCAAAAATTTTTATATACGAAATAACGCCCACCTGCCCGTCATTTTGAGTATATGCGCGTTATTTAGAGTACGCGTGTGGGAATTATTTTGAGACAGCAATAAAATTTCACCTAAACAAAGGCTATATCCAATTATTAGTTAAACCCCTTATATGGTGTGCGCGTTATTCCGGGCGTTACTTTGAAACTATGTATGCCATTTTTAGGGGCACGATTTTCTAAATAACGCCCATGCCCGTTATTTCGCGTAAAAACGGCAATAAATTTTAACCTTTTTTGGTTTAAAATCTTTAATATACCGGTAAAATTTTTTTCTTTAAAATTTTTGAATTTTATATATTTCTATATATATAAAAATTTTACTTCTAATACAAGTTTTAAATTTTATAAATAATACAATAAATATTAAGAAAATTTTTAATCTTGTAATAAAAAATTGGAATAGGTATTTAACTATAGAACATAATTAAAAGATGTGATAATAAAAATTACATATTGTATAAAAAGATAAATAAATTTAAAGAATTAAAAAAAATAAATAATTTTTAAAAAGATTTAATAAAGAAATACTCTGAACTTTTAATAAACTTACTATTCAAAAATAAATATAACATGGTCTTTTAGGTAAAATGATTTACTAATTAAACTAACTAGAGAAAAGAATTCATGCCAGCATGTGTATATAAACTACAACCCTTTTAGAAAACTGGCTATTTGGATTGAGATTAAGAGAATATATGAGAAAATTAAAAGTGTTGCTGTAAAGAAGTATCAGGTATTAATTTTTTTCCAAATCCTATTTCTAATCAGATTGAATAGAAGAAGGACTAAATTATCATCTTTGTAATTAAAATTATTGAAATTTTCTTGACGAGCATAAAATACTACAGCGAACAATATTTACATTACGCATGAAAGCAATTTAATTTTATTTTTGCACATCTAATTACATAGAAATAAAGCAAAAGAATGATAAAAAAAAAAAATAAAAATGCCTAAAAACTAAAAGTTTCCTATCAAGTCTGCTAAACTTACAAAGTTCAAGGTAATAACATGAACATAAAATGAAATACAAAAATACAACGATTCTTAAAGTATTTCGTTTATTCAAACGAATAACATATAGAAATTCACTCGTATTTAATTCACCTGTTCAACAAATGCACCAACTTCATTATTATTAGAAGAATGATTTATAGCGACTGATGTCGAACCCTCATCTTGCACAATATTATCAGTTTCAGCAGTGTCATTAGTAGTGTTAATATCACCCTCATAACGACTCTGACCTAATTGATTTGAACTGGTTGTTGACGACGATGCTAAAGTATCTCGATAATCTTGATATGCGGAAAGAACCTGATGCGTAGGAGTCGGAACAAGAACGTATAAAAGTTCGCGCTCACCCTCACTGGGTTTATCGTGACGAAGTCGAAGTTCTTTACTAGCACTTTCACGTTCATATCTCTTTCTATCTGCATAAGCCATTTCAAGATATTTCTTGAAAATTATTACAAGATGATTTTGGTCATTTATTGATTAATAAATTACTGTAAACATAGTAAACGAAATAATAATGGTATACATCTTTTTCTGGTTCCGGCATTTCTTTCCACTTTTTACGCACAAACTTAAATCTATCTTTCGGCGAAACATGTGCCGTACCTCCTGAGGAGTAGATATCTTGTGTAAAATAATTAAAAGCACTACGTGGTCTTTTTGGTGAATATTCATTAACCGCGCGCCTTTTTTCTGGCGAAAAAGAATAATGGATACGAATATAAGAGAAAAAAAAATATATAGTACATCAATCATAAATAATACTGGAATACGCACCATCTTGAGATTCGATTTGTTTGCCCTTACGTTTCAAGTTTGGTCTTTCCGGTTCAGGCGTAAGTAAAACATTAGGACCATCACTTGACGGACTAGATGATTTTGGTGTGAGAATTACGTTTTGACTTGGAGCCGAAAAATTTTCATCGGAAATATTTGTATCCGATTCATTTGGAGTTTCTTGAACAGTTGTGATGCTGGATGATGGCAGAAAAATATCCGCATTTACGCCATGTGGAATTTCATGAACATTTACATTACCAGAAGATTCAGAAATACGTTGTTGTATGTCTCTAGGGAGTAACTCCATAAGGTCACGAAATGCGATCAATGCCGTGCGAAGAGCCATTGTACCATCAATAAATGCTCGTTCAATCTAATTTAGGAAGAATTAATATCATCATAGATTAAATTAAATAACAAAGTTTGGAATAAAGTTTGACAAATGTTACCATTTCGATTTTTTCATTGAACTTTTTATTTAAGTCTATTATCCTTGCGCTTTCTCCGGAACTTTGATCATCTTTTTCGGTAAGTTTATTTGTCTCGCCAGCAGAAGTATCGTTCCGTGTAACATTTTCAGTAGTATCATTCACATATTTTAAATTATCAACACCACAGGAATTATTCGTTGCTGATTCTTCTAAAGTATGTTGTAAACCATTTTCTTCCAAATTTTGAGTATCATCATCATTGAATTCACCTAACTCAAAATCACCTACATCGCCGCGATTATCGGAAGGCATCGAATCAATAACTTCAGCAGTTTGGGGGTCAAGCAAACCTTCCATCACATCATCTGATGGATCCGAAATGATGGATACGGCTTTTTCTTTAGCATTATTGGTGGATGATTTATCCACATTGATAGAATTTTCTATAATATCGGTTGTAGAACTCGACATGTAAGCCATACCAACAGCAACTTCCTCTTCTAATTCTTCTTCAGTATCATCAAGGTATGAATATTCACCATCACCATCACCATCTTTATTACCAGTAATTTGTTTATTAAGATCTTGATCTTTACAATATGATACGAATTCAGCAGTTCTGATTTCCGAAAATGAAGAACGTCGTGAATTATCAATTTCCATAGATGAGACAACTCGTTCTTGTTTTAAAATAATTGATTGTTGAGATGGATTCGAGAAAGTACGAGTAATTCTTTTAAAGTCATGATCCAAAACAGAACGTCCTGTCGTACCGCGAGTTGTAAACATATCAATTCTTCTCAGTGTAAACATTTAAGAGAATAAGAAAATAAAAAAAATCATTATGTGAATAAACAATAAACAATATTTATAGTCGTCATCAAATTTTAATAACTGACCTCTTTTGAAAATCTGACAGAACGAGATGAAATCAGCAAAAAATTGGCTCAACCGAGTAATTTAAAGACTGTTCGATGACAAGTGTTGATTTCTATAGTGATGTGACAATGACGCAATTTTATCACATTGATGTATTATAAATATGATTTATTCCTTCTGTCATAATTAGTAATTTCTATTGGATCGATCATTCAAAAAATGGTTAACTAAACGTTGATTGTCACAACTTACGTATTTTTTTTTTTTAAACTGCCGATTTTTTTAATGGATTTGATATAATGATATTGATCATGACTCTATATGTGAATGATGACCTAAAGTCATATGCATAAAACTTCGAACAACTTTTAATGAACGGTAAATATACTATTCATTTGAATCGTTCTTATTCACTTAAATTATGCCACGTATTTTAGTAAATTTATAGGCTATTTGGTATCGATTACTCGATTACTAAGAATGCACAAAATCACTAATATGTATCAAATTATAATACATAAAATTAAGCAAAAAAGCAAACTAGAAGGTGAAAAATGCTCTATGATTCAAAATAATATCATTATTTTGTTTTTTATCTAAAACATGATAGAACTTTATACTGTAGATAATTATTAGTAGAAAATAAAATGAATACAATTAACTACAAGTACAAATTTGATTGTTTATTTTTAAAAGCTTTGCCCAAAAATTATTTTTAATTGCCATATACTGTTAAGCATTTTATTACACAGAGCGAAATAGAAGACTAATAGTTTATCCCGTGATCATCTGAATTTTCACGTTCTTTTTTTGATTGCTAAGTATAATCCGTCACTTCATTGACAATCTACGTGCTAATTTCGTTAACTTTGCGCAAAATTTATTTGTTCTAAACTAAAGTTTCAAACGAAACCTAAATATTTCGCCAAATCCGAATTCGAAATAAAGGCGACATTAGTTCCAAATATCCGGAAATATCCGCAATTGTCCATATTTTAGACTCAATCTGATATTGTTTAAAGCAAACTAATACAGTCAAACTTCCCTAAATGCAGCTTGAAGGGACCAGGCTTTTGACAGAGAATAGATTGCATTTATGGAAGTCGGGCGGAGTTAAAGGAGGTCTGACTGTATGTGAGCAAATCTGCACATCATGCACATCGAATTATTGAAAATTATTCTCGTTAGTCGGCAGACTTAAAATATATAAAAAAAAGGTTTGAATTATTTAAAATAAACGTGTCTTTCTAATAGATCTTTAACACATGAAATTGCGAATTCAATTTGCTGAATTCATTCCAAGTATACACTGTATTTAGAAGTGAATTGGTAAACTTGAGATTGATTATTATCATTCGATATAAATCATGTTTTTAAATAGAGATGCATGTGTGAAATAACAAGTTTAACAAACCTTACCCGGCAAAATTGTAAAAGGCTATTAATAACATTTGGATTGGGAACATATTTAAGCGCATGCAATTGTTAATTGGAGATCTTGGACCAGATGTACGAATAATAAAAGGCTTCAAGGTTCATTATTTATATATTTTAGTTATTTTTATCCGCTAATTTGGTTCAAAAATTTCTACTATTAAGAATTGGGGATTTATTTTTTTTAATCTAATCAGAATCGTTTAACCTCGTAATCCTATGATGTGATTTGTAAAAGTCAGAAAACATTCAAATACAACAGATAAATTAACCTCTGCTAAGACTAGAACCTGAAATTAATTATATAAAATGAATTGCTACAATTTCAGTTTCGATTTTAAGAAAGAAAATTCTAGAGCAATTTTATGCGGAAAATAAATTAGTATGTTAACGTACGTGTGTGATTTGTTTTTGGATGTACTAAAATTCCTAAATTATCCCAAATTATCTTATTGTCTTATATTTTTTACTATATAATGTGAAAGTACTAACGATTGACGTAAATACACTTTTGGAACACACTTCGCTTCAAGCTGCAGATCTACAACGTAGTTTACTATATTTCAGCCATGAAATAAATATGGTTGGTCATTAATATAAAGAAGAAATCGGGTGCCAGAACAAACACAAAGCGTTCGAATATTATCAAAAATCTGATAGTAATTTAATTTTAAACTTTAACAAAGATAACATATAATTGATAATCTTCTATATAATTTGAATTTTATTTTAATTCGATACAAGAAATTAATAATAGGTTTTTCGCACATATTAAATTATAAAGTTGATTCAGAATCAAATTTAGGTTGGTACTGTGTGAAGAACCAGGTATTGTATTTTGGGAATATATTATATTAAAATTAGTCAATAAATATGCGTAGTTATATTCCCAAGAAACAGTTGGTAAGGATAGTGAGTAATACTAATACCCAAATCTTAAGCAGTGACCAATGATAACCGAATCCATTGATCTCTGATTCGTCGCTCCCATAGTCTACCGATTCAAATGTTTGCTACAATATCGATATTAAATAATTTTTCAGATAATTATATCATTTCAAACCCTAAATAGAGACCATTTTACATAACCGTTGTGAAAAAAAAAATAATTACTGATCGCACTTAATCCGATTTAAGGTTTGAAATGAAATGATACGATACTTTGAATTCATTATACATCAAAGCAAGAATAAAATACGATAACATTATATTTTGTATGGTTTAATTGTAAGAATTTAATCTTATTCGCTTTAACTTTTAATAGTAGTGATTAATCCGATCATTGCTGTGCCAATAAGGAGATAAGGGGACGTCCATAATTTACGTTAAACCAGCATTGTTATCCCTTATACCGTAAGCCGAATTTCTGGTAGGTAGATATCCAATCATCTTCATGTTTTTAATCCCCCAAAATTGTTTGCGCAGTTAATCGGCATTACGTATAAATACATCAAAAGTCCGATTTAAATACGTCGGACATTTTGAAGTAGTTCATGATTTTTAAAGAACCCCAAAAAAGTGAACGAAGAAATAAAAGGATAGAAAGGTTGTGTGCTAAAAAGAATAGCATTTTTCAAAGATTATCAAACAAAACAATTTAGTCTTCTTATGATACCATGTACCCTTAGGTTAATAATTTATCAAGAAAATGCAAATTGCAGGCAAATTTGCCTGCAAAGTGGTGTAAGGGACAGGGATCTTAGATAATCCAAAAATAATACTATATGGAATTATCTTCAAGGTCTCAATTTTTATACAATACTGTACTGGTTTAACGTAAATTATGGATGTCCCTAAGTAGAATTCTCTATTTTTGGATACATAGCTTTATTTTAGAAGCTATCCTAAATTATTTTGTCTAAAAATCCCAAAATTCGAAAAAACCCTTAGAAAATTTCAAAAGCATTTTTTTACAATTTTTATTGGATATCGCAATTTTAAAACAACATTATGCCTTTCTTCTGTACAACAAAATTTACAAATTTGATTGGTTAACAATTCTATTATACAATCATATTTGTATACTTGTTACTATCACAAAAAATAGATCAAAATGAAGTAAAATTTTAATATCATAATAAAAAACATTTTTTTGCTATTTTAAACCCAATTTTCTAAGGTCCCTCCCATAGATGACCCATTAGGGTATTCAGAATACCAATTAATCAAAACATAGTATATCAATCACTAAGTTTTTAACTCTACAGCAATATATAATCTCCAAAAACTTCCAACTGACCAACCAATCCAAATTAAACAAGAAAACTGAGATCTTTTTTATATTATTAATAATCTTCTTAATAGGCAATCCGCCAGTCACCTGGATAAAAAAATTTTTTTTATATATAAATTTTACTATAAGTGCGAATGCACAGCACTTCTATCCAAAACTTTTTTTTATACTAAGTAAATCACTCTTTGGCTTCTAACAAAAGTTGTAAAGCTTATCAAAATGTATTTAATGCTGAAAGAATATTAAAATTGGTCTGGTAGTTCTTGAAAAATCTTTAAAAAACTTCTTCACATATAAAATTTCTTTAAAAAAAATTGATTTTTTTTAAAGAAATTTTATATGTGAAGAAGAAGTTTTTTAAAGATTTCTCAAGAACCACCGGACCAATTTTAATATCTTTTTAGTATTAAATACATTTTAATGAGCTCTACAACTTTTGTTAGAAGTCGAAGAGTGATTTACTTAGTATAAAAAATGTTTTAGATAGAAGCACTGTACATTTGCACTTATAGTAAAATTTATATATAAAAAAAAAATTTTTTATCCAGGTGACTAGTGGATTGCCTATTAATTAGAATTTTCTTAAATATCTTATTTGATAAATTGAAAGCAAATTTTTAATAGCCAGAAATGAATAATTTAACCAAGTGAGATGTTATTTCAATTAACAGATTAGTAAGATACAAATCATCTTTTTTTTTCTTTAAAATTTATTATTAATAAAGATTGCTCAAGTATTACTATTGTATTTTTTATATGATAGACAATGAATTCTAAAAAATAATTTATATTTAATACTCGAATCTTTTAAAGCAAATAATCAATATCTTGATATAAACATAATAAATACAATTTATCTTTTAACTTTTAATCCAATTATAATGAATAATGCTTTTTCTTTTTTGTTCACTAAATTTGATAATTTTTCAGCAAAGATGACCTAAAAATTAAAGGATTTAGGTTCTATATTTAATGGATAATGAAAGTTATAACTTTTTTCAAAAAATGTTTCATATTACCAATGATACTTTTAGTATGAAATAACATATGCAGAATTACTATAGATAGTTTATAAAGAATATTTTAAAAAATTTACTTGTTTTTGCAAAGCAATTTTTGCCAATAATTTATAAGTTAATTCTGTTGTTGTTGTAACAAAATTTTATTTCCCAACATAATATCTATATGTTTTTATATATATAAAATAGATTTTAATTAGCAAAGTTATTAATAGGTAAGGTTA